TACTTTACGGAAAAATAAATAGAACACATTCAGGAAAATCAAAAGTTAATATAAATATTCCGGGAAATCAAAAAAAGTACTCATCGGTTATACGCCCACAAACTGAGTGCCGGCCGAATTATAACCCGATAAATCTGGAAAGCACTAAATAACTGGACTTATCGTATTATAACTTTTAAATGAATGATCAGAATTGATATTAGAATAAGGTACCGCTTATCGAGGGCTTTCGAATGATAAGATTTATTTGAATTGGACCAAGCTCAAAAAAGTTATAGACAATCAATGTCGGATGCCACTCAGTTTGTGGGCGTATATCCGTCAAGTACCCAAAAAAACTTCAATTAATAAAAACTTTACAAAAAACACAATTAAATGTGTTTTAAAAAAACTTATTGGAGATAGAATAGAACACATTCAGGAATGTAAATATAAGCCTAAAATAATAAAAACTTTCCGGAAAAATCTTTTTACATATGAATTTTAAATTATTTATCAGGAATATAAAAACGTAAAAAAATTTTTATTATAGTTTTTAAAGAATTAAAAATTTATTTAATTTAAATGATTAAACACAGATATTTGTTCTTCGTCTTTGAATGATATTTATATGGGTGGGATTAAATCTTTCAAATATTTAAAAGTTTGTTAGCTCCTCCCTTTTACCTATAATTCTTAAAAATGTCAACATAAATATTTAAAGAAAACAAAATAATTATTAGACAGGCAAAATTACACAATTTTTGTTTTTTCCTTTGAGTAAAATTTTAAAAAGTTTTTCGCCTCTTCGCTTCTTTTCATAAAGATTTATTTTTATATTATTTTGCGAGATCAAAAGCATGTAGGAAAAGGATATATAGAATAAAGGAACGACTAAAAGAGGTAATAAATAATAATTATATTTAATATATTGCAACTTTTACGTTAACGCCAGGGTCGAAGGCTTTTATTAATTTTTAAAGTTATTATCAAAAAAATATTATTTTATAATTTTTAACAAGTGCTCGAGCTAATCCGCTTTCATTATCCTTAAAAACCCCGAAAGATTTTTCAGGATGATTGTCTCCAACTCGACCCGCTCCCCTAAAAAATTAAAATCCGTCTTTTTGGAGTGTTCTGGCGGATCTGGATATACAGATCCGCCAACCCTAACTCCGCTTCCGAACTTTCGGCTCTACATACTAGGCATTTTATTTAATGCTACTAGGCGTTTAATGCTACTTTTCAGATCAGAGTTAAGAACTGCCTTTCAAAAAATGGGGCATGATTTAGATGATAAAGAGATAAAAGCAATTTATTTACAAGTTGATACTAATAAAGATGGAAAAATTAATTTTATTGGTAAAAATTTAAAAAATATTTTTAACATTTTTTTTTAATTTTAGAATTTACTGAAATGATGACAAGAAGGAAATAATAAATATTAATTAATAAATATAATTTTTGTGCCTTTTAATTTTAATAAAAATTAACATTAACATTTTTCTACATATTAAATTAATTTTTTTTTATTTCACAATTTAAGTTTTATTAAATATTTATTTTGAAATCCCTGAATAAGACGATCACTCTAAATCAACGAGTAAGGAAAATACAGTAAATATGAGGGGTTCGTTAATCGAAATTTTTTTCGTAAGCGTAATTCGTATTTTTTCCTTTTTTGTGAGAGTGCTACTGCTATAATTTATCGGTTAAAAATTTTTCTGTTAATGGTATTATTTTGCCGGAAAAACATTTAATTTTAGAATGTTTCCGTAAAAACATTAATTATTACATACATGTTTCCTGAAAACATTTAATTTTTAAGATGTTCCGGAAAAACATTTAGGTAAATCTTAAAAGTCTCCAGAAAGGTAAAACATTAAATGTTTTTCTGGAAAACATTTAATTTTTAAAATGTTCTGGGAAAAGATTATTTTTAAAATGTTTCCGGAAAAACATAGATGTTTCTATGTCAGTGAACATTTTTTTATGAAAGTCTAACATGTTTTTATGAAAAAGTTGTTTGCCCTCATACCTCCCAAACATAAAACATTTTCCAGCTGTTTAGAATATTTCCCTCAACAACAGTGGAATTATTTTTGATGGCGGTATGGAATACACTGTGGTGCAAAAGTTTATATACACTTTGGAAAATTTTCTTTAATGTACCGTATCTCGAGAAGTCGAAGTTTTATCGAGATAATTTTTTTTTCGCCTAGTAGTTTAAAAAGTGCTCTTTCTAATAAGCTTTATTTTAAAAATAACCCCCAGTACTTATTGAGATATACACCATTTCCCAAACTGCTTCAATTTTCTTCGGTGCAAAAGTTTATATACACTTTACAAAAATTGGATTTTTAGAAAAACAAATGGCAGGAAAAAAAAAAATACAGATGATGAAAACAGTTACGGACTTCGTTCTTTTTTATTTTCTACTCAGTATTGATGAAAATGTTCACAGAATTTTTTTTGTATTTTTCCTGCCATTTGTTTTTCTAAAAATCCAATTTTTGTAAAGTGTATATAAACTTTTGCACCGAAGAAAATTGAAGCAGTTTGGGAAATGGTGTATATCTCAATAAGTACTGGGGGTTATTTTTAAAACTAAAGCTTATTAGAAAGAGCACTTTTTAAACTACTAGGCGAAAAAAAAATTATCTCGATAAAACTTCGACTTCTCGAGATACGGTACATTAAAGAAAATTTTCCAAAGTGTATTTTGCACCACAGTGTAGCTATAGAAATTGACTTGGACAGAAAAAAAAATTCGATCATTTCACGACCACAAGGAAGTATAATTAACGACATTTCTCATGTCTGTTAATCCAAAAAATAAAATTTTTAAAAATTTAAAAAATAATTCATTTATTCGATTTATATGTCAAAAATATTTTTGTAAGATGTAAAAAATTAGATTATAAAATACAGTCGGAACCCTTTATTTAGCAATTCAAATATTGATTACATCAACTTAAAATGCGTCTTTTATTTGTCAGGCACCTCGGTAAATGTTTAATGTTGAAAAGAATGTTTTTAAGAATATTCCCGGAAAGTGTCTATAATATTATAAGATTCCGGAAAAGTTTTTAGACACAACCACCTAATAAATTATTTTTCAATTTTTAGACCAAAAAGTTCCGAATGTTAAAAAGCACTAAAATACGTTACAAAGAGGTTTTCTTAAATTTGAATTAAAATCGTATAGGTAAAGCAAAAGACAAATATCATGATGCTACAAATATTCAAGTTTGTTTTTGAAAAAAATTTTAAGAAAAATTTAAAATTATTCTAAAATCTAGAAAATGTTTTTAAGAAAAAATTTTTCAAAAACAAATATTCCAAAAATATACTTGTTAGTGTATGTATTTTTTGAAGTTAAAATTATTTTTAAGTAAAGCAAAGAAATTTTGTTTATATTTTATTGTCCAAACTTCTTAAAAGACATAACTTCCTTTAAAAGCCCCAAGCTTTTATTGTAAGAATTGGAGTCGGACCTCCAGTAAGTGTAGCTTTTATTGAATTTAAATTGGTTGTTTGAGGAAGAATTTTTACATGTTGCTTGTAGACCAGTCCATCTTCTTCAACTTCATTAAACCAATGAATTATAAGTGCGTTCCCAACCAATTTCTCCTATAAATTATGAGAATTTAAGGGTATAGTATATGAAATTCAAAATGGCAATTCTTCGGATGACGCACCCCCCCCCCCTCTTTTTCTGGTTTCCCTGTCCATTATGAGCTCTACTTGATATATAATTTAGTACAATATCATTCAAAGGAGTTTGGGTCGAATGATACCATGATCGGTTAGATTCGATCAATAGAAACAAAATTATGATGCTGAATCCTAGATGGAAAGGCCTTTTGTGAGATCAAATTGATGATTTTTGTGGCAATCGACTTATTGGCAGCTTGAAATGCTCTTTTGATTGATATATATTTTCCATATAAATGAAAAAATAGAACAGAAAAATGGGGGGGGGGGCGTCATTCGAAGAACTACCTTTAAAATTGTTGACAGGGGGTCAACATCTAAAACCTATTTAGATTGGTGGGACTAAGGATGAGATCAGGGTATTTGGAGAAATATCGTAAGATTCGGAGAGATATCGTGATATCAGAGTTGGAAGGATCTCGGTAACCAGATTTGGAGTGTCGGAATATCAGCAAAAAATCCTCTTGAGCCCCTAAGTAAATTTGTAAAAATATCAAAAATAAAAATTTGTGATGTTCAAAGGGTTGTGGGTCGTCTGTGGTGGACTCGTTAGGAGAAATTAAACTCACATGAACATTTCCATTGAAATTACCAACGGCATACTCGCACTTGAATAGCGGGTCTTTAACAATGTAAAAGTAATTAATTATTTAAATAAAACATGCTAAACCTGAAAATGTCTTTGGAATGGTAATTGGAATGATTTGGTTGCCCTCAACATTATCCAAATTAATTTCAAAGTCTCTCTCTAGCTTTTTAAACTTTTTACCAGCTTAAAATTTATTTAATTATTTAGACTAAAAGATAGTGAACCTAGAAATTTTTGTGGAATGTTCGAAAGCAAAGACTTAGTGAGTTGCTTTGCCTGAACAGAACAATTTTTTATTGTAAGTCCCTCAACATTTTCCTTCTCTTCTCCTGTATTTGACTGAACATTTTGTGAAGAAGAAGGACCCTGAAGTTAAAATAAACTGACGATTTAACCAGAAAATTAAAAGGAAAAAATTTTTGGAAAATTTGGGAGAGCCAGGGGCAAAACCAAAGTTCGGACCCAGGATTGAATACGGGAAATTTTGAAGCCCGAGCCACAAAAGGATTAATAAGGCACTGGTGTCCCTTATTATTTAAGCGAATGTTTCAAGAAAATCTATGACAGAAGCTGGTTAAGGATTACTTGAGATGGTTAAGGATTGGTTAAGGATTATACTCTCATATTTGAGACTGATGTGATGTTTGGACACAGCCCAAATAAGTAAACTTAAAAACTTTTAACTACAGAAAAAAATCAAAAACTATCAAAAAACCTCAGATTTCCTTTTAGCAGCCAATTCATAAGAACAAGTTGAAGCAGAATGACTTCGTTTAACACATAGTTTTAGTTTTGCTAGAATAAAAAATTGTTTTGAATTTGGAAACTTTTTAAATTTGGTTTGTACTTATTTCACTTCCAAAAATAGATAAATTATTTGTCATTCGAAAGAGCTCAACAAGCGCTTTTGAATGATATACAACTCGAATAGGTTCTAAATTAACTCAATAACGATTAAACTAAGCCTAAAATTTTCAAAAAAATTTTGAAAATTTTTAAAACTTGAATGTCTAAATTCAAAACAAATATACCCACTTTCCGATACAGTTGTAATTTCCCGTACAATTTCCAAACCACACCCATCGCTGGGGCATAAATTCTTAGTCAAGAAATAAGGCACCAAACATGCTAAATGAACTTTGTGACCACAAGCAGCTGAAATATTGCCTTCAGAATTAATTTGTTTCGAACAAAGTGCACAAGATTCCATGCTTAACTAAAATATAATAAATTTAAAAAAGTCTTAAACAATTTTAGCCAATAATTCTTTTAAAAATCATAAAAGATTCGCGATTGAATTAATAAGACTCATCAATACTACAATTAAAATGGGTATGTTTGAGTCTCGCCTATTTTTGGTCGTATTTACTAAATCAATAACTTTGAGTTTATACATTTCGAATAGAACTTTTATCATTCGAAAGCCATGGAAATGAAGATTTTTTCCTAATATCGAAATGACAAAAGCATTCCTCAAAATGTTATAATCTGTTTAGTCAGGACAATGATTTTCTGTTTATCTGATTATAGCCTTAAAAAATCTTATCAAAACGGTCTTGCTAAGAAAAAGAAACAACACATCCAAATCTTTCGAACACATCCGAATCTTATTCAATTGGGTTAAAATCGAAAAATTTAGGGCTAAAAATGGATCAAGGACTCAAAAGGTTGTACTCAATGGTCCTATCCTGCAATCGCAAAATTTAAATTTCTACTGAGGACACTTTGTTCTCTCCGATTCAGAGACTTCAATTCATTGCGAAAATCTTTGTAGTAGAGACCGGCAAAATCGTGTTTGTGGGATCCCGCATGCGGGATTTTTTTTCAAAATCTTTGCGGGACGGGATCCCGCGGGATAAATCCCGCAAAATCCCGCAATTTAAATTTGCGGGATCCCGCGCGGGATTGCGGGATTTTTCTAAATTTTGAAAAATTCTTTAAAAAGCATGCCGTAAGCAAAATTTAAGCTGAATCACATAGTATTCGATCGGTCTCAGTCCTACGTTGAGATGACTCAATCAATCAAGCGATTGATCATCTGATAAAGTGATCAAATCATCGATCGAGTGATCAATCGAGCGATTGAGTCATCTGAGCAGTGATCAAGTCATTAGATAGAATCATCAGCCGAGAGGGTGATCAACCGTGAGGAGGATATAGTATTAAACCAGGATAGTGATCAGGAGTGATCAACCGAACGGTGATCAGCCGGATGATGGCTAACCTCGAGTGATCAGCCGAAGATGATTTGCGCCGCATCCAAAAATTTTGACTCTCATTGGGGTGAAATAGAAAGAGGTCTTGTCTTGAACGATCTTTAAGGGTAACTTAAGAGTTTATTTCCCCGATTATTTGGAAAGATAAGCCAACAGCCTGTCCAAAAAACCTTTTAACCGCAGAGATAATCAGTGTTGGGTATTGCTGGGGGCTTTTTCTTTTAGCCAGAGCCCAGCTTTGATTTATATTTGTTGTCATTGACCTTAAGTCCTTAGAATTTCTCCATTGGAGTGAAATAGAGGAAAAGTGAAACAGAGAAAAATATTTTTACGTTCAATTTTGGTGGAATTTTGGTCTTCTATACTACAACTCCACAGATTCTTCAATTTTCAGCGCCGCAGGCGAAAATTTTGGGAATTTTGGAAGACCAAGAGGCCAGATTTCTTCATTTTTTCTAAATGAAAATATAATTTTGTCAAAAAAATCCATTCTTAGTGGTGTAAAAATTTCCCGACTTAGTCGGGAATTGACACCGGGAGTCGGGATCGGGAGGCCAAAAACTCGGGAAATTTTCCCGAGTCGGGAGTCGGGATACCCGAGCATCACTAATATATAGCTTACATATGGTATATAAAACTTCCTGAAATATTCATGATTATCTAAAATACCGATAACGATATATATTCTAATGAAATATCTCTGATATTGGCTATAAAAAATATTAATCTTATGACTGATTATAACTACCTTAAATTTTATAAACATTTTTCTAAAATTTTTCCCAGCTAAAGTATAAAATAACAAAGAAGATGTTGAGAGTTTTGTAGCATATTCCTTCCATTTTAACTCCAATTTTGTTTTTCCAAATGTATAATTATTTATTAATTTATTATTTATATTAGCTGCTTTAATTAAATCAAATAGCAATTCAAGAGGCAAAGGGGAATAATTTTTATTGTTTTTGTATTCTTTGTAATTTTTATTTTGGGGATTTTCCATTTTTATCTGAAAAGTATTTTAAATTATGTGTACATATTCCTCTCATAAATTGTTTCCGGAGAGTAAATATAAAACACACACTAACAAATAAATTAAATAATACACATTCCGGAAAACAAATATAAATTCTTCAAAAATTAAATAGAATACATTTCGGAAAGTAAAGATAAAACATAAAATAATATAAACACTCCGGAAGACACATTTTAATTGTTTTAAAAAACAGATTAACCCAAGAACAGAATATAAAACTTTCCGAAAACAAAATAGAACAACTTCCGGAAATTAAATATAAAATATACAAGTAATAGAATACTTCCGGAAAATTTAATTTACAGTAAATATATAATATAGATTTTCTGGAAAACATTTAAATTTAACTTCAAAATACAAACTCGAAACTCACTTAAAAATAAATTTTTCAAGAAACAAAATAGAATACTTTACGGAAAAATAAATAGAACACATTCAGGAAAATCAAAAGTTAATATAAATATTCCGGGAAATCAAAAAAAGTACTCATCGGTTATACGCCCACAAACTGAGTGCCGGCCGAATTATAACCCGATAAATCTGGAAAGCACTAAATAACTGGACTTATCGTATTATAACTTTTAAATGAATGATCAGAATTGATATTAGAATAAGGTACCGCTTATCGAGGGCTTTCGAATGATAAGATTTATTTGAATTGGACCAAGCTCAAAAAAGTTATAGACAATCAATGTCGGATGCCACTCAGTTTGTGGGCGTATATCCGTCAAGTACCCAAAAAAACTTCAATTAATAAAAACTTTACAAAAAACACAATTAAATGTGTTTTAAAAAAACTTATTGGAGATAGAATAGAACACATTCAGGAATGTAAATATAAGCCTAAAATAATAAAAACTTTCCGGAAAAATCTTTTTACATATGAATTTTAAATTATTTATCAGGAATATAAAAACGTAAAAAAATTTTATTATAGTTTTTAAAGAATTAAAAATTTATTTAATTTAAATGATTAAACACAGATATTTGTTCTTCGTCTTTGAATGATATTTATACTTGGTATGGGTGGGATTAAATCTTTCAAATATTTAAAAAGTTTGTTAGCTCCTCCCATTTACCTATAATTCTTAAAAATGTCAACATAAATATTTAAAGAAAACAAAATAATTATTAGACAGGCAAAATTACACAATTTTTGTTTTTTCCTTTGAGTAAAATTTTAAAAAGTTTTTCGCCTCTTCGCTTCTTTTCATAAAGATTTATTTTTATATTATTTTGCGAGATCAAAAGCATGTAGGAAAAGGATATATAGAATAAAGGAACGACTAAAAGAGGTAATAAATAATAATTATATTTAATATATTGCAACTTTTACGTTAACGCCAGGGTCGAAGGCTTTTATTAATTTTTAAAGTTATTATCAAAAAAATATTATTTTATAATTTTTAACAAGTGCTCGAGCTAATCCGCTTTCATTATCCTTAAAAACCCCGAAAGATTTTTCAGGATGATTGTCTCCAACTCGACCCGCTCCCCTAAAAAATTAAAATCCGTCTTTTTGGAGTGTTCTGGCGGATCTGGATATACAGATCCGCCAACCCTAACTCCGCTTCCGAACTTTCGGCTCTACATACTAGGCATTTTATTTAATGCTACTAGGCGTTTAATGCTACTTTTCAGATCAGAGTTAAGAACTGCCTTTCAAAAAATGGGGCATGATTTAGATGATAAAGAGATAAAAGCAATTTATTTACAAGTTGATACTAATAAAGATGGAAAAATTAATTCTATTGGTAAAAATTTAAAAAATATTTTTAACATTTTTTTTTAATTTTAGAATTTACTGAAATGATGACAAGAAGGAAATAATAAATATTAATTAATAAATATAATTTTTGTGCCTTTTAATTTTAATAAAAATTAACATTAACATTTTTCTACATATTAAATTAATTTTTTTTTATTTCACAATTTAAGTTTTATTAAATATTTATTTTGAAATCCCTGAATAAGACGATCACTCTAAATCAACGAGTAAGGAAAATACAGTAAATATGAGGGGTTCGTTAATCGAAATTTTTTTCGTAAGCGTAATTCGTATTTTTTCCTTTTTTGTGAGAGTGCTACTGCTATAATTTATCGGTTAAAAATTTTTCTGTTAATGGTATTATTTTGCCGGAAAAACATTTAATTTTAGAATGTTTCCGTAAAAACATTAATTATTACATACATGTTTCCTGAAAACATTTAATTTTTAAGATGTTCCGGAAAAACATTTAGGTAAATCTTAAATGTCTCCAGAAAGGTAAAACATTAAATGTTTTTCTGGAAAACATTTAATTTTTAAAATGTTCTGGGAAAAGATTATTTTTAAAATGTTTCCGGAAAAACATAGATGTTTCTATGTCAGTGAACATTTTTTTATGAAAGTCTAACATGTTTTTATGAAAAAGTTGTTTGCCCTCATACCTCCCAAACATAAAACATTTTCCAGCTGTTTAGAATATTTCCCTCAACAACAGTGGAATTATTTTTGATGGCGGTATGGAATACACTGTGGTGCAAAAGTTTATATACACTTTAGTAGTTAGTAATACCACTTTTTAGCGGGACAATTAATGACTTTTTGGCGCAACCCAAGGGTTTAGGAGGGTTTTTCTTTTGATCTTAACCGCATTTCCTAAGGGTTTTGGAGGGGTCTAATTAAATTAATTACAGAATACCAATTTCCCGCAAAGTTTTTCCTTTGAGTCTGAGGACAATCCAAGGGATTAGGGGGTTTTCCTTTTGATCCTAAAGGTTTAGGGGGTTTCCCTTTTGATCTCCCAAGGGTATTGGAGGGGGTCTAATTAAGGTTAATTACAGTATACCAAATTCGCGCAATTTTTTCTGAGGATAACCCAAGGGTTTAGGGGGTTTCTGTTTGTTTTTAAATATTTTTAATTTCACTTATTAGAAAATTTAATTTATTTCTATTCTTGCTCACCTAAGTATTAATTGTCTATTGGCATTCTTTAAAAAATATACTATATAAACAGATAAATATGATTGATTTATTCATAAAAAAATGTTATTTAAAATTATTCCGTTATTATTATTAGTCTACAAAACCTCAACAGAAGATAAGATATGGAAAATAGAAGAAGCTTTAGTATCATTATTTCGACGAACACCCGCCCCACCTGTTTACGTCATAAATGATATTTTGTATGACAAATGTGAAAATTTACCTTTTATAACAAAATATCCTAAAAAATCTGTATATTATATTGGAAAATTTGGAAAACACTGGGATCAGTTGGAGGAGCAATTAAAAAGGGATAAAAAATTAAGAGATGAACAATTGAAAATGAAAAGAAAAAAATTTTTACAAACATCTACAAAACCTACACTAACTAATGAAACAGACTATATATTATATTCGAAATGGAGGTTTCTAAAAGAACCCCCTTTCTCATCAATTATAAACCTGTTCAAGAAAAATTAATGGGCGTGGTTTATTTGTGAGTATAAAAGCTGATGCAAAACTCAGATCTTGACATTATTAAAAATCATTGATGGCACTTAATATGAATAATAAGAAACTTCTTACCTCCCAAATTTTACCCGAAGTAGAAATAAGTATTAATCCAAACGGAATAACAATCTCAAGTGCCCGTTTACTACCACCTCGATTTATTCCTTATGACCAAGGCGGTAAATGTCGTGAATGTAAAAGCACAGAAGTGGAATTAGATTTTGTTGTGACAAAGGAAGGAATTACAATTTATTGTACTCGCATTTCAGGAACACGTTTTGTACCATTTGATATCGTATATGACCTGCCGGGAATCTGTTTCTTTAAGGTAACTTTTAATAAATTGATTAGACAAGTTTAATTTTAAGATCAAAAACAAAGGCCGTGTATTCAATATTCCACATAATTCAATTCAACCTTCACAAACTAAACCACAACAACCCTGCAAAAACCAAATTAAATCTGAAACACAAGAAACCCCACTTCAAAATTCTGCTCCACCGCGAAAACGTTCAAAAACTACAAATGAAAATGCCGAACAAAAAGAGAAAAATATATTAGATGAGTTTTTTGATAGTCTTGATGCAGCAACAACAGGGATTCAGTCAGATAAAATAAATAATTTAAAGAAACAGGCTATTAACATGAAAGAAGAAGAAGACGCAGCTATAGAATCATTATTTAAGTGAACATTAAATATTCAAACATACTCAATTAAAAATTTTAAATTAAATTAAATTATGGAAACATTGTCATTCTCGGATAAAGAATTAAAATTTAAACTTCCTTTTGGTATGATCATTTCAGGACCCAGTTCCAGTGGAAAGAGTACTTTTTTGTTAAAATTTATTTCTGAGACAGAAAACTTGATTGAGCCTAAACCTAAAAGCATACTTTATTGTTTTGGTGAGATGAGTAACATTGTCCCCATACTTCAAAAATCAGGTGTAAGTGTGTTTTCGGGTGTACCTCCAGATGATCTAATCAATAAATTTCAAAAACCTCTTCTCCTTATTCTTGATGACCTACTTCTTTCTATTGATGAGAAATACTTATCCGAATTATTTACAAAGAAATCACACCATCGAAATTTTGCTGTAATTTTTGTCACACAAAATTTATTTGAACGCAAAATAAAAATTGCCCGTCAAAATGCACAGTATATTATAATTATGCGTTCTCCTAACTCTGTCTTATCTGTTCGAAATATAGGTGTACAACTTTTTCCTAGAAAACTTGACTACTTTCTTGATGCTTATCGTCAGGCGACTAACAGACCGTATGGTTATTTAGTTATTGATATGCATGCTTCGTCTGATCCAGGATTACGACTCCGTACAAACATATTTAAGGAAGATGAACAAAAAATAATTTTTATTCCGAAAAACAGTGCATAAATGGTTAGTCAAATTGTCAGAGAGAACTCAAAATTTTTACGTATATTATCTCGCACAAAATCACAGAGAAAGATAAATCGTCTTTTAAGACTTTCAACAACAAATCAATTATTGGCTTTGGTAGAAATTTGTTTAAATATAGTAAAAGCTCGTATTAATCTTACAAAATGTCAAAAGAAACGTTTATTGCCGTATGCAGACTTTGTCAGAAAGATGAGTCGTATTAAGAGTGAAAAAGGTGCACGAAAAACTCTAGACCAAAAAGGTGGAGGTATTGGAACTTTTGCTGCGCTCATTACACCAGTCCTTATAGAACTGGCAAGATCTCTGGGAAACTCTATAAAAAGCAATAAATAAAACAAAAATTAACAAAATTATGGCAAACAAATTTATTCTAGTTCCTGAAGATATTTACAGAGGACTGACAACATATGATGCAGGAGACCCCAACCTCGATTTTATTAGAAGTGATATCGAGAAAATTAAGAGGAAAAAGGATAATCCCTCTGCTAAGAATGTAAAATATAATCAAGAATTAAGAAGATATCTGCACATTAGAAACGAACAACAAAATAAACCAGTCAAAGTTGAAATGGTGGCTAATCCTAAAGGAGCAATTATGAGCACTAATGCAACACGTCCCTCGTCTAATTTAACAGAGGATGATGACGATCTATTAACAACTGATGACATTTCTCTTCCCTCATACCCTATACCCCCTAAGGATATAAAATCTATATCAACTTTTAATGCACCGAATGTACCTCCACCACCGTCGTTGTCATCAACTTATTCTGCTAAAAAACATTTAAAAAATATAGGAGATGAATCGCCACCTATTCCTCCTTTACAACAACCTATAGTTAAAAGAGAAAATAAAACCGACTTGAAGAAATATAAAGTGAAAAAACATATCAAAAAGGTTAAAAAAGTTTCTAAAAATAAAAAAAGACAAATTCCCCAAGGGCATTCTGAAAATATAGAAACAAACTATATTAAAACTCCAGCAAGTCCAAGTCCACCCATTTATCGCAAGGTTACAAAACGAGAACAAGAAAATAACGAGTTTGAAGGAGTAAAGAGAAAGAAGAGAACAGATAAAAATCGAGACGAGGAGCTCAAACAGGAAACATATTTATTGAAACAAAAAGCTGTTAAATTAAAACACTTAGCCGATAAAAGAAAAATTTTATCTGAAAGACGAAAAACTAGTCAAAAAACCAAAGTTCCATTAGATCCATATGAAATTAGACGACTTCGTGATAAAGAAAATGAAAAATCAAAAAGCAAAAGAAAAATCATGAGAGAAGGAAGATCCCCCTCTCCACCAATTAGTCGTCAGAAAGTAAAAAGGAAATTTGAGGGGCCTATTGAAAATGAGATGACTGTTATGAAAAGACAAAGAAAAGTTACTAAAAAACAATCAAAAAGAGCTTCAAATTTATGGGTTAAAAATCTGAAGAAAAGAAATGTTTATAAATCAAAAAGTAAATGGGCAATAAGGAAACCGACACAAAAGGATATCAACAGTTTTAAGCCATCTCTTTGGTAAAAAATGGCGGATTATACTAAACTCCTTGATGATTTATATAATAATCCCGAATCACCTGCAGCTTTTTCTGGAATTGACCGACTTTGGCATGAAGCACGTAAGGTTCTCAAACATATACCAAAAAAGGTCGTACAACATTATTTAGAAGGACATAGAACATATACACTTATGCGCCCTAAACGTATTCATTTTAAAAGATCAAGAACTGTAGCTGCTGGATTTATGACAGATGTTCAAGTTGATTTGGCTGATTTTCAACAGTTATCCAGACATAATAAAGGAAATCGTTATTTGCTTCTAGGTATTGATGTTCTATCCAAACGAGTGTTTGGCGTTCCAGTAAAATCTAAAAAGACAGAAGAAATGATTGAAGCATTTAAAAGCTTAATTTCACAGATGCCTATGAAACCACAAAGAATTTTTTCTGATAAAGGAACTGAATTTAAAAATAAACAAATTAAAGAATTTTTTGAAAAAGAGGGGATAGAAAAACATGAGCCAACACATTCTATAGTCAAAGCATCAGTTGCTGAAAGAGCAATTCGTAATGTTAAACAACGACTATACCGAAATTTTGCTCAAAAGAAAACATTAAACTGGATTGATGTCATAGAAAAAATTCTAGAGGGAATAAATAAAGCAAAAAGTAGAATACATGGAATGCGACCTATAGATGTCAATTTTGATAACGCTCAAAAAGTATGGAAACGAATTTATGGAAAAATATTTTCTTCAAAAAATAATAAAACAAAACCAAAACTTAAAAAGGATGATTATGTAAGAATGAGTGTAAATAAAGGTGTTTTTGAAAAAGGATACATACCAAATTGGGGAGATGAAATATTACAAGTGGATAAAATAAAAGAAACACCTTTACCTATTCAATACAAAGTGAAGGATGATAAAGGCGAAAAATTCAAAGGTTCATTTTACAATGAAGAGTTAACTCGTGTAAGAAAAGATGCAGATACAGAATATAGAATTGAAAAAGTTGTGAGAAAAAGAAAGAGACCAGACGGAACCTTTGATGTCTTAGTTAAATTTATAGGATACCCAGAACGAGAATGGATTCACGAGTCTCAACTAGTATAAAAGAAACAATTTTTTCATTATTGTAAAATTTTTTGTGATAAAATTATGTCAAACAGTTTTTTTGTCTTCCTACCTAGTAATATTCCCGATTATCCAGATAATCGTCCAAATAAATTTCGTGTTCATTTACCGAAGCCTCTCTATTTTTCTGGTAATTGGGTTTGTGGATTACATAGTATAAATTATCCATATTCATGGGCAGCAACTATTGGTACACTAGATGATCAATGGATTGATATACATTTCAAAGATAATCTTGGAATGGGCAGAGTCTTACGAGTTCCAGTTCCAAAAGCTTCTCATACTTCAGTTGAGAAATTACATGAATTTTTAATTTCCACACTTCAACATCAAAGCGAAACTTATGGAGCTTCGCCTTTGGAAAAACCTGAAGATTTAGTTGATCTGCCCTCACTTAAACGCCCAAGAAATAAACGTTCATTAGAAGAGTTAAGGCAAATAAGAGTGGGGATCATTCCTAAAGTTGATGAAGTGTTCATAGATTATCCTGATCAATATTGGGACCAAATAAAAATTTTAAAAGATAAACTTGTAGAGGATTCAAAATCTTTAGATGAATTTAAATTAAGAACAGATCAACAAAAAGATGAGACTATTAAAAGTGAAATGACAACAACATTTTGGAACCTTAGTTACAAAAGGAGTGCCTTAGAATCTCGAATTAGAAAATTGGAAGATGAAGCAAAAAGAAGGGATTTTGAAAATAACAATTCAGATGTCAGCATTGTTGTAGATTTTTTCGAAACCTACCCCGAAAATTACAATGAAATATTAATTATAGACCATCTCAAACTAATAGCTCTCTTCATAGAAGATAAAAGGGAAACACCCTTACAATTAGAAGGATTTTTACCAAGATTTAAGAAAGAAATTGAAAGAATGACAAAGAGAGTAAATTTACTTGATGCTGCTGTACTAAGAAGAGACAAACAAAAAACTGTTAAACAATATAATAGAGAGAACTATATAACCCATAAAGGATATGTTGATAAATTTTTCAGCGATAACCCTGATTATTGGCCAGCAATACGAAGTAATTTTTACGGGTTGATCGCTACATATCAGGAAATTTCTAATACAAAAACTTTGTATGATGAGGAAACAGATGAAGATCGAAAGAAGGAATTAAATACTAAAATCGAAGGACTTAAAAGAACATTTAATTTTTAAGATGTTCCGGAAAAACATTTAGGTAAATCTTAAATGTCTCCAGAAAGGTAAAACATTAAATGTTTTTCTGGAAAACATTTAATTTTTAAAATGTTCTGGGAAAAGATTATTTTTAAAATGTTTCCGGAAAAACATAGATGTTTCTATGTCAGTGAACATTTTTTTATGAAAGTCTAACATGTTTTTATGAAAAAGTTGTTTGCCCTCATACCTCCCAAACATAAAACATTTTCCAGCTGTTTAGAATATTTCCCTCAACAACAGTGGAATTATTTTTGATGGCGGTATGGAATACACTGTGGTGCAAAAGTTTATATACACTTTAGTAGTTAGTAATACCACTTTTTAGCGGGACAATTAATGACTTTTTGGCGCAACCCAAGGGTTTAGGAGGGTTTTTCTTTTGATCTTAACCGCATTTCCTAAGGGTTTTGGAGGGGTCTAATTAAATTAATTA